TCCCCCTCTTCACGTCCGACTCTCATGTATCTCCCCAGGCGTGGTCTGTCACCCCTCCGACCGTCCACGCCTCGACCTGGAAGGGAGTTTTTTAAATGTTATAGCTGCAGGATTTGAGCCAGGATGGGGCCTGTGAGTAAATCATCTTGTTTTTGCAGACTTGCTTCATGCTTCAGTCAGGAAAACCGGGTGCTGGGGCTGAGTGAGCCCTGCCTGGTGAGCCCTGCTGGAGAGAAGCTCTTTGGAATGCTGGGAGCCGGCTGCAAAGCCCAGCAGGTCACCGTCTTTCTGAGAGGCTAGGCGAAGGGGCTGCCTGGCAGGACCCAGCCCGAACATTAATAAGCTTTGATAACTGTATACTTACTTATTTCATATAAACCGAATCATATAATATTTGTCTTTTGTGACTGACTGACTTCAAAGAGTCCCAGAATCTGCATGAGAAGGCCACGCCCACAAGGAGGCATCATCAAGCTGTGACCCGATTGACAGGCTAGACCACCCCTGCACTTATTTATCAGGTTGACATGAAATTACTGTATATACTTGTGTAAAAGCCAAGTTTTTCAGCACATTTTTAATGCAGTTTTTGTGGTAAAATTAGGTGTCTTGGCTGATATTCGGGTTGGCTTATACTCGCGCCTATATGGTATATGACTACCACATTATCCCATATATTAGAACTTCATTTCTCTTTCTGGGTGAGCAGTGTTCCATTGAATATATGTACTATGTTTTGTTTATCCATTCGTCTCTGATGGACATTAGATTATTTCTAGCCTCTCTCTCCTATTGTTTTTTAATTTGTTATTGTTGAAAATATAGATGACAAGACTACACTAATTCAGTCATTTCTATGAGTATAATCAATTGAGTCAGTGACTTAGATTGCATTCTTTGAGCTCCATTCTCACCCTCCCATTATGGGTTGTTCCGTCTTAACATAGAGTTACCGGCCCCAAGGTTCTTGTCCAATCTTTTGAGTTGTTATTATCACTCTGATCCCATGTAGTTCTTAAAATTGCACAATGCTCATGACAGACACTTTTTAAAAAAACCAGTTTACTGGGGGCTCATACAACTCTTATCACAGTCCATCCGTCCGTCCATGTGTCAGGCACATTATGAAAGACACTTCCGGCAGAGAATCATCGGGTTAAGTTGAGGGTATTTTTGGTTTAAGGTTTAAGGATTATCTCTGGGCAAGAGTTTCATGGGTTCATTCAGTTCCAGAGCTCAAGAAAGTCAGAAATCTATAAACATTTAAAGTTATGTATTTTTCCTTTTTAATCAGGATTCTTTTATAAGATCATTGATAAAAATGTTTAGTAGTGGTAGTGGGGCACTATCCAATTCTTCAAGCTTTAATGACAAACGGGTGGTTTTTCATGGATTCAAATAACCACACATTCCCTCTTTTTCCTATTCTTCTTCTTTCTCCTTTTTCTCCAAGTGAGCAGAGATGAATTGCTGCACTTTGCATGGCTCCTTCTAGGTTTTTAAGACCCCGGACACTGTGCAGCTAGCTAGGATGTTGAACTGAAGCACTAAACAGGTTGTTAGACCAATTAACTGGGATGTCCCATGAAACCAAGACCTGGAACCTGCAAGGACTCAAATCCTGTGAGGTTTTTGGTTATGTATAAGCAATCTCAGCATCTGCTCCTTTCTTTTGTTATTAATACATCACACAACTCTTACAAATTCAACTTTTTGTTGGTGAATAACTTATTGACAGCAATTAGAATAATCAGCTGTGCACCCCTATAGTTAATCAGTGAGGTTTTAAAATTACCCTTAAATATATCCTTTTCCCCCCTCTCTGTCCCTAGTAACCACTAGGTCACTATACATTTGTTGATTCTTACTTTTTTTTAATAAGTGAGGTCACACAATATTTGTCCTTTTGTGATTGACATGTGTCACTCATTATAATGCCTTGAAGCTCTATTTACTCCTGGCCTCTTTGTGTTATTATTTTTATATATTTTACATGTTATAAATCTAATACTATCCAAACTCAAATCCATTGCTTTCAAGTGAATTCTGAATTTTGTGTGTGTGACATGATAGAACAGGCTAGAACTGCCCCAGAAGGTTTCCACGGGTGTGACCCTTTACAGCAGCTGACCCGTCTTTCTCCCCTGGAGCATCCGGTAGTTCCAAACTGCTACTCGTCTGGTTAGCTACTGAGTGCTTCCACCACTGGCCACCAGAGTTCTTTAAGCCTATCATTAATGGTTTATAAAATCTTATCTTTTAAAATATTACAAGAAGTGAAGCAATTATATTTATGCAGTATTTTATACGTAATCATACAGTTACTATTTTCAGTGTACGTAATTGCTTTCTGTGGATTTAATTTATGGTCTAGCTTCGTTTTCTTTTCTTCGTAGATGTCTTGAGGTGGTATGGGCAACCCTCTTAGTCAAGAATGCCGTGAAGTCCCAAAACGTCTTAGCGCAAGTTTAGCAGTTTTTCATGAACAAACATTTCTAAATTCATTTGCCTTCAATAGCCTTGAAATGTATGTTTTTCACTACTTTGTCCGGTTTTATCAGTGATTTTTGGAGATAAGATTTTCGCAGGTCTCTGCTTTACAATAGCCAGGAGTCTGCTGACTCACGCACCTTGTTATTTTTGCATGGTAGAAGTAAATTTCTGTGCAGCTCTGAGGTACGTTTTTTTGTCTGTGAAGTGTGAGTTTAGAACCAAAACAGCTTTAAAAGTGGACCTATGTTATTTAAGCTATGGTAATTGGGAAGAAAGAAGGAGAAGGAGTAATTGGGCCTTTTTTGAGCTTGCTTGGGTCTTTGATTTCCCTTTCACAGGAGATACCCTGAGGCTTCCCCGTGGACTTTTTCTGGCTCTTCCCTTCTTTTCTTGTATACACTGTCTGATGTTAAGTAGACTTAGAAGATTCAGAGTAAAGCAGTGCCTGCCTGTCGTAGTCTTACTGTGTAACTGCTGAATCCTCTCCATGGATGGATGGCAAGAAAAGACTCAAGAGAGACCATGGCTGCATGATTCATGAGTGTCAACTCAAGTTCCCAGAATCTGCATGAGAAGACCACGCCCACAAGGAGGCATCATCAGGCTGTGACCTGATTGACAGGCTAGACTCCACCCCTACACTTATTTATTAACTTGACATGAAATTATGTAACTACCACATTATCCCATATATTAGGACTTTATTTTTCTTTTTCACTCGTCTTCTAGGTACGATTGTGTAGTCTGTTTGGTGGGCTAACCTTGAGGGGTCCCTGTAACTGAGGTGAAGGGGAGAGGATTCTCCCTGAAGCACATGTCCTTGGAAGAGATTTTGGGGTATAGCTGCCAAGAAGAAGGAGGTTATTTGCCCCAGAAAGTAACATCCCAACCATTAAACTAGTTATGGGGAGAAACTGCGAATATACTTCTAGAGGTCTCTTGCCTGCTGGATAGAATTTCTGTGGAAATAAGGTCAACTCTTATTTTATTGTGCCCTTATCATCCTGCAGATAATACCTGAACATCTCTGTAACCAGATACCTTTGTCTTTCTCTCTTGGCAGAGGAATGTCCTGGCATCCGGAGTCATCCCACAGATTTCTCTGATCATGGGCCCGTGCGCTGGTGGGGCTGTCTACTCCCCTGCCCTAACAGACTTCACGTTCATGGTAAAGGTAAGAATGAAAAGCCTGTTTCTAGTGCCCTCTGGGAATTGTGCAGTTCCTCATCTGAAATAAAAATCATTCCTGACCCAGATTTAGTTTGTTATCTTGTTGTCATTGGCTTTTTAGGGTGTTCCTGATAAGGTCTGTTGGAGAGAAAGCGTTGGCAGGAGATCTGTAGCTGTTGGGGGTTTGATGGTAGAAGGGGTTTATGTTTGATTGGTGGGTGGTTTTATTTGTTGACCTGAATTGAAAAGGATTCATGTTATCAAAGAATGTTGTCTTCTGCCCGAACAGGTGATTGTTTACTGAATTCAATTTAAAAAGTTTCTCGTGGAAGATTTTTCTGTATTTTGTTTCATTAGGAAGCTATTTCTTAAGCACCACCTTCATCTTGTCTGCTGTATATGACACAAATTTGCCAATTCAGCATTTTCAGGTGTACAAATTTATTTGTAATCATGTGCAACTGCCACCCATAATTGTTCTTAAATTCTTCATTATCTTAAGCAGAATGAGATTTAAAAATCTTTTTTATTTGTGAGCCCATGTGAATGTGTAAATTGATAATTGCTCTTATCTGATATATATATTTTTTAAAGTAGATTCTTCCTCCAAAGCTTATAAGTTTAAGAGGAAGAATCTAATTTCAAAAAACAAATGACAAAAATCCAATCAACAGAGCAAAAACTTGGTTCTTTGAAAGGATCCACAAAATCAACAAACTACTAAGCAAATTTAACAAAGGAAAAGGACCAAAATGTCAATATTTAGAATTAGGGATGAAACAGGAGAAGTCACAACAGACCCCAGTGAAATAAAAAATATTAATTACGCAGTACCACAAAAGACTGTATTCCAACAAATCCAGTAATTTGGAAAATAACCCGGAAAACCACTCTCCCCAAATTAACGCATATGGACATCAAGAACTTGAACAGATCCATAAGAAAGAGAAATAGAAGAAGAAATAGACAAGGTCATCTGGAAACTGCCAACCCAAACAAGCCCCGGTCCAGATGGTTTCACCGCAGAATTCTACCAAGTGTTCAGAGAAGAGCTGCCACCAATCCTACACAAACTCTTCCAGAACACAGGAAGGGACAGCACACTCCCAAACTCTTTCTATACAGCCAGCATAGCCCTGATACCAAAGACCCCACAAAGATAGAGAGCTACACACTGACATCTCTCATGAACATAGATGCAAAAATTCTCAACAAAATCATGGCCAGTAGAAGCCAACAACATATCACAAAAATAATACGTCATGACCAAGTGGGATTCATACCAGGGATGCAGGGATGGTTCAACAATTGAAAAACAATGTAATCCACCACATCAACAAAAAGATGGACAAGAACCATATGATCATATCAATTGATGCAGAAAAAGTATTTGATAGTATGCAATACCCATTCCTAATAAAGACCCTTAAGAAGATACGATTAGAAAGGAAAATTCTCAATACAATAAAAGCCGTATATGGAAAATCAATAGCTAATACTATACTCAGTGGAGAAAAGCTGAAAACATTTCCACTGAACAAGGGAACCTGATAAGGATGCCCCTTATCCCCACTTCTGTTCAGCATTGCACTGGAAGTCCTATCTAATGCCATTAGACAATGGCAAGATATCAAGGGTGTACAATTGGGTAATGAAGAAATGAAACTTTCACTATTTGCCGATGATAGGATTTTATATATTGAGAATCTGAAGGGGTCCACAAATAAGGATTGCTGGAAATAATACAGGCACTTAGTAGAGTAACAGGATACAAGACTAACTAGCAGAAATCAAATGGATTCCTATATACCAATGATGGGAATACAGAAGAAGATATCAAGTAATCAGCACCATTCATAATTGCCACACAAAAGCTGAAGTACATAAACCATGGTAGATACACAATTTCATGTCAAGTTGATACATCAAATGAAGGGGTGGGGTTTAGCCTGTCAATCAGGTCACAGCCGGATCCCTCCTTGTGGGGGTGGCCTTCTCATGAGGATTCTGGGAACTCTCTCTCTCTCTCTCTGCTACTACACATTTCTGCTGTCAAGCCACATGGAGCCAGGCTGACAGCATCCAGAACTCTGGAGATGCTTCCACTGCCACTGGACCCACAGGACTTTCCACCCACCGGCTTGTGATCTTCCTACATTTGGCATCATAGCATGTACTGCCTGAGGCTAGAGAGGAATTCATAGGCTAATATCAGACTTATGGGCTAATATTGAGTTTATGAACTTGATCTGGACTGGGCTAGGATGTTTTGTTGATGCATAATTATTTCTTGATATAAAATTCTCTCTTACACATATGAATGTCTCTGGGTTTATTTTTCTAGTCAACATGGACTAACACAAAACCTAACAAAACCCCAAAAGACCTGTATGAAGAAAACGACATATAGATTGTGATAAGAGTTGTATGAGCCCCCAGTAAAGTTATTAAAAAAAAACCCTATTGAAACATTAATACAAGAAACCAAAAGGGATCTACACAAATGGAAGAATATCCCTTGTTCATGAATTCGAAGACTCAATAATGACAAAATATCAATACTACCTAAAGCAATCTACAAATTCAATGCAATCCCAATACAAATTCCAGCATAATTAGTCAAAAAATGGATAAACCAATTTCAAACTTTATATGGAACGGGAAGAACCCAGGATAGGCAAAGCATTCCTCAAGAAGAAAAACAAAGAAGGCCTTCCTGCATTACCTGACCTTAAACTATACAGCCATAGTTGTTCAAACAGCCTGTACTGGTATAATGATAGATATAGACATGGTCCTATGGATCAGGACAGAGAACCAAGAAATAAAAACATCTGCATACAGATAATTGACTTTTGCCAAAGGCCCAAAAAACATTAAATGGGAAGCAGATTCCCTCTTCAATAAGTGGTATTGGAAAATCTGGATTTTCATGTTCAGAAGAATGAAACAAAACTCATATTTCACTTCATGCATAAAAACAAATTCAACAAAATAAAGATCTAGACGTAAAACTCAAAGCTCTCAGGATCATCAATGAGATAAATTGGGACAAAGCTAGAAGCCCTAGTGCAGGGAATACATGGGCTAGCAGAATTAATAAAGGAAACACACTCCATGGAAGATAAAATGAATGGAAGCTATTAAGAATAAAACAGTTGTGTACATCTAAAGACTTCATTAAAATAATAAAACGAGAGCCCCCTAAGTGGGAAAAGATAATTAGTAACTACATAACAGAGGACTATTTACTAAGAGCTCAGAATTTTACAAGCTTACAACAAGAAAAAACCAATGTTCTCTACGAATGTGTGCATAAGCAAATGTGGTGAAGAAAGCTGATGGTGCCTGGTTATCAAAAAATATAGTGTCTGGGGTCTTAAAGGCTTGAAGATAAACAAGTGGCCATCTAGCTCAGAAGCATCAAAGCCCACATGGAAGAAGCACACCAGTCTGTGTGACCATGAGCTGCAGAAGGGATCAGGTATCAAGCATCAAAGAACAAAAAGTCATATCATTGTAAATGTGGGTGAATGCAGACTGGAGACTCAAAGTCCATCATCAGGCAACTGTACACCCCCTTATTGAAGGGTTGTGGGGAGGAGATGTGCCAGTCAGGGTGCAGGGTATCAATGATGAAACATATAACTTTCCTCTAGTTCTTAAATGCTTCCTGCCCCCCACTATCATGATCCCAGTTCTACTTTACAAATCTGGCTAGACCAGAGGATGTGCATTGGTACAGATAGCAACTGGAAACACAGGGAATCCAGGACGGATGACCCCTTCAGGACCAGTGGTGAGAGTGGCGATGCCTGGAGGGTGGAGGGAATGTGCGGTAGAAAGGGGGAACCGATTACAAGAATCTACGTATAGCCTCCTCCCTGGGGGATGGACAGCAGAGAAGAGGGTGGAGGGAGACGTCGGACAGTGTAACATGACAAAATAATAATAATAATTTATGAATTATGAAAGGTTTATGAGGAAGGGGGACTGGGGAGGGAGGGGGGAAATGAGCAACTGATATTAAGGGCTCAAGTAGAAGGCAAATGTTTTAAGAATGATGATGGCAACACATGTATATATGTGCTTGACACAATGGACGTATGTATGGATTGTGATAAGAATTGTATGAGCCCCCAATAAAAATGATTTAAAAAAGAGAAGGTGGGCAAAAGACCTGAACAGATGATTTACAAAGGATGACACTTGAGTGGCTCTTAAATACATGAGGAAATGCTCCCGGTTGTTAGCCATCCAGGAAATGCAGGTCAAAACAACAATGAGATACAGTACCACCTAGTGTCCATTGCTGTAGTCCAGTTTTGAAAAGCTGAGAACAAAGGTTGGAGATGGTGTGGTGAGATAGGAACTCTTATCCACCGCTGGTGAACTTGTGAATCTGAACCGCCTCTATGGAAGGCGACACGGTGCTACGTAATACGGATAGACATTTACCTGCCATCCGACCCAGCAATAGCATTACTTGGCATATACCCAAAAGAAATTAGAAACAGATTGTGAACACACGTTTGCTCCCCCATGTTCATTGCAGCAGAGTTCACAGTAGTGAGAAGCTGGAAACAGCCTAAATTCCCATCAACAGCAGAGTGGATAAAAAAAAAACTGTGATACATACACTCAGTAGAATACTGCGCATCCCTAAAAACAAAACAAAACAGTGATGAAACACCTCAAGATGTTGATCTCTCAGCAACACTTGATTAGCTGTTCATTCTTACCACTTTAAAACATCAGGGCACCATATTAGATTTCCTCTTAGCATACTGACAACTTCCTTCCCATCTCCTGCTTGTTCCTCATCATTTCCCTAAGATTGTATCATGCAGTTTGTATTCATTCTTTCACAAGAGACATAGCATACAACATGATATTTTCAAGGTTTATCCTTGTGATACACATCAAAATTTCATTTCTCTTTATGGCTGAGTGGCATTATGTTGTATGTTTATTACCACATTTCCTTATTCATTCATCTGTTGA